ACAGAGTGACTGGCTCATTTGGTTTGTTATTCACGAGGATTTCGAGGTGGAACGAATAATCAAAAAACGAGTTTGACAAAATGAAGATTAAAAACGAAATAACACCTTCCAACGGTCTTAATATCCTTCATTTATCTCAACTCCAATCCGATTTAGAAATGAGTATAAAGTAATAAATAAATGGATAAACGAATACACATCGGAAAATATTGGAACAATAGGTCAAGATTGGAGGTCTAGGTTTGAGCGATAACCGATAATAAATTTCTGTTTTTTATTTATGAACAATATTGCTGATATTCTGGTAAGTGGACTCCTCAATCACGTGGTGCATGAGTTTTTCTCGAGACAGTAGTTGACCTTGGGATCTTGAGAGCTCTTGGTGTCAGTGCGAGAGTGTCTCGAGTCAACGATAGACTTTCAACCAGACAACTATCGAATTCATTGATTTTTACACCCTGGGTTTGATAAATAAAATATAAACCTCAGGATTTGTGAGGAAATTTAGGCGCTATGACAAGAATTTTATTGACATTATTAGCGATTTGTTACTGTGCCACAGTTATAACGATGGGAAATGGTCAGCATGTGGTGTTTCCATTCGGAGGAAGTTCCAAAAATCAGAGCGGCAAAATATCGATAGTAAGTATTCGTTATTTAGAAGAATTATCTATCACAAATCTTCTGCGATTTTTAATTGATAATAAAAATCAATCACCCGATCATAGAATTAATTTATCAATCTTCCAGTTGACCGCAGGAATTCCCATCCGCATCCCAGGCCAATGTCCTCCCCACATGGACAGATTCCCACACCCTAGGAACGCCAGTTCCTGGTTTTGCGATTGTGTAAAAGGGCGTCTCTATTATTCCCTGAACGACTCTTGCTACGAGCCCTACAGAAGGGGTCCCTGCAAGTCATCGGAGTACCTCATCCTCCCCCAGGACCAGGTGGCATCCCGGTGCGTCCTGAACCCCTGCCGAGAGGACAATCTCGTGCCCTTCGAGGGTGGCTGTCACCCACTGCACGAGAAAGAAGGTCCTTGCCAAGAGAACAACATCCTCGGGGTCAACTCCACGACTTTTCATATCGAGTGTATTCCCCTGGACCTTGTCCCCTTCAACATCATCGACCCTGGTGAGGACGATGGATGTCCCAGAGGCAGTAGAAGAACTGCCTACGGCATCTGCATACCTCCATTGGAATAAAACCCCCAAACTCCTGGCGAATACTGATGAAATCATTTTTATCATGACTTAATTCAATGACTTCTTCAAGCACTGAGAGAGAAATTTCTATTAATAACTGCAAAAGACTTATGCAAAAGACTTATGCAAAAGAAAAAATAAATCTAGACGTAATTGTGATAAATCAGTGTAATTCATTGTTCGTACACAATTTGTCTAATCATTAAGTGATATTAATACTGATAGTGAATTTATCTCAGGTGAGGCAATCGAGCTGGTAAGTATCGTAATTAACTCTGACGACACCTGATTGACAGGGGCCCCTGGAATTCAGGTGATGACAGCCTCCCCTGAACCACACGGAACCATCTAAAAGGCAGGGGTTTGATGCACATCTCGGTATAACCTCGTTTTTCCAGAGTATCGCGTATTCCCCCTGGTTGCAGGGACCTTTCCTGAAGGCAGCGTGACAGGTACCATTCAGGGGAAAATATAGATATCCTGGTTTACAATCGCAGATCCACGTGCTTTTATTTCCACTGCCCGGATACAAGTACATGTTCTCGGGGCATCGACCTGGGATGTACACTGGAATTCTCTCCATCAGCTGGAATATCACGGATGAGTTAGACTCCAGTGGGAGGTGTCCAAAAATTTTGAAATTATCTTTTTATCCCTTTTCATTTATCTTTTAAAATTCCATATTCGAATATTCTTGATATTTTTAATTGACGCTCGTGGAGTTCTTTTATTTATAAAATAATTGGTGAATTGGTGGATTATGGATTATAACTTACAGGCCCCTTGCTTCCTCCTAGATGCGTGTGATCCTCGTCAACGGGGAAGACGATATCTTGGGAATGTATCAGCGAATTCAACAGCAAAATCCAACAGACAAATAACAATTTTCCGAGAGACTTCTCCATTGCTCTTCAATTCACTGTTGATGATGATTAATTGATGATTTCTGGTGTGAAGGGAGATGTTGTTACAAACGTGTAGTGGGCGTAGATTATTTGACGGCCAAATCCTAGATAGCTCAATGGAATTCCCCACACAGTGAAAGGAATTCGCCGACAGTCAAACTAATTATCTCTCCCGCATAACGGTATGTCGGGTTTTTTTATCCGGAAAATGA